GTGATATCTTAAACAGTTAGTGAAAAGTTTATTCTTCAAGAACAAAATGATATCAAACCAATATTTAATGAGCGAGACTGGTCAACAAATCCTAAGCAACAAATTATAAAGAGGTGGTATAGGGAATTTTGGACACATCTAAATTCCAACAAAATAGTCAGGGTATATATATGGTCTCCAAAGAATATGACATTATAAGCATGAATGTCAAGATATATAACTGAGAAAACTTTCAGAAAAAAAGAAAGAGATATTAGGAGCCTAGGGAAGGGTAGTTAGAAAGAAAGTCTTGGTGGACTGGTGAGCGAGGGCTTCTTTCCTCTCCTCTGACTATACTTTCCCCTTTACAACTAGACCTTCACAGACTGAGGACCTTAACATGCCCAAATCAAACATTTAGCAGTTATGGTCTAGCAGCTGACATGAGCATGCTGGTTTGTTTATTAGGCACAGTACACTATAGTGAAGATAGAGGCATCAGACTATTTGAGTTGGATAATACTAGCCACTGAAATTGTCCAGTTAATTCTCTCTAGTCTGAGACCACGTGCTATGATTTGGATCTGTGTCCCCACCGATATCTCATATTGAGTTGTAATCTCCAATGTTGGTGGTGGAGCCTGGTGGGAGGTGATTTGATCGTGGGGGTGGATCCTTCATGAATTGTTTAGCACCATCCCCTTGGTGTTATTTTCATCATAGTGAGTTCTCATGAGATCTGGTTGTTTAAAAGTGTGTAGCACCTCCTACCTTGCTCACTGTCTTGCTCATGCTTTCACCATGTGAAGCGCCTGCTCCTGCTTTGCCTTCCACCATGAGTAAATGCTCCCTGAGGCCTCCCCAGAAGCAGAGGCCATCATGCTTCCTGTACAGCCTGCAGAACCGTGAGCCAACTAAGCCTCTTTTCTTTATAAATTACCCAGTCTCAGGTATTTCTTTATAGCAATGCAAGGACAGAATAATACACCATGCTCATCAAGAACACTTTTAATAATAATTTTGTTTTCCAAGTAGCATTTCTGACAGGAAGACAGCACACTGACTAGTAGACATCGGTCTCCTGGAACATAACCACACTAAGGTGTGCTGATGACATTTCTGGATATGTAAAGATATGGACCTATTCTTGGATTGTGGTGATCCCATTAAAGCAATGTCACCCAGTGAGGCCTTACAGGAATGGCAGCTGGCTTGTCCTAACGACATTACATTTAATTAAGCAGACATTTATTGAGTACTACATATCACACATCATTGGTGCCGAGGGGAAAAGGTGAATATATGGTTTATGTCATAACAGTTTATGCCATAAATAGTTCCCACCAGAGAAAGCAGTTCTACCTTGTTCCTCTCTAACTTTAACACTTTGATCAAAAAATACCTCTATCATCTTATCCTCAAAAAAGTGTGATGTTTTTCAGGCCAAAATTAAGGGTCTTATACACTTAAATTAAACATCAGCTTATTAGATTTGGCCTATGATCTTTTCAGATTTTGATTTGTCACTGACACATTCAACATATACCTACTTAGTGACTACCATGCCAGACCCTATTAGATGATGAGACACAGAGGCGAATGACACATACACAATCAATGACCTCAACGGTTTTTAGCGAAGACAGTTCAGCAGTTACAATAAAATGATAATGTTCAAAATGAACATTACAGCGAGCTATGAGAGTGCTTAATAGGGAGGTGAAAGCAATTAAGATGAGAACTGAAAGAAGAAAAGGAGTTCGCCAAGCAAAGGAGTCAGAACAGCAGAAGTGGAGGGAGAGGAAACACAGGCAGAGGGAAGAGACTGTAAAGGCACTGAAGGCAAGAAGAACGCATAGAAACTGAAAGCGAAGAGCAGAATGTGAGGGGTGCAGCTGTGAGAGATGAAGTTAAAAGACAGATTAATCAGAAAGGCCTAGTAATCCATGGTACGGAGTTTGGGCTTCACTTCAAAGCAAGAGGAAGCCACTGGAAGAGTTTATGCAGCCATGGGTGTGGGGAGGGGCAATGGCACTGGCACGGTGCTCTCTGTGGTTAGGTAAAAATCACTCTGTGTGTACTTTAGAGAAGACATTAAAGCAGAAGAAGATCAGAGGGAGGCAGGCTAAGCAGGAGGCTATTCAGGACTCCAGGCAGAAGTTGATCTGGGCTAAGGCAATGGGATCTTAGTCATCAAGATGGACCAATAGAACAGATTCAAAACGTATTTGAAAACTAGACTAGTAGACTGTTCAATTAAGTTTGTGGGGAGAGTGTGAAAACAGGAGGAAGAACAGTTTCTTAGTTTTCTAAGTGATTCTTAATCAAACAGGAGATCATAGAGCCAATTACTGAGCCAGAGTGTAAGTGGGGATGCACAGATCCATTTATCTTGGGAAAGATGATGAGTTTCAGGTATCTGCAAGGCCTCCAACTAGAGATACTGTGATAGCTGGATTTATGAGACTGAAACTCAGAATAGGGTCTGGACAGTGAAAACAGCTGAGTAGTCCTCAGCATACAGCTTGGTGTAGTGATTTACTGCTACAGAAAATAGGTTAAGAAATGTAGACTATAGATTGAAGCTTATTGAAGGCCTAGATGAAAATAATTTCAATAGATAACTAGAGTGAAAGTTAAATTGGAGTACATGGAGGGCTGAGAAAGAAGAGGGAAAAGTGAGGCAATTTGGACAACTCTTTCAAGAAGTATAGTTGTAAAGAGGAGGAGATAAACAACAACAGTAATGTAAGAAGAATGAAAGTGTGGTAAATGGAGTTCATTGTTTTTGGTTTTGTTGTTTGCTTTGTTATGAAAGAATCTTAAGGATTCTTAAAATTCATAGAAAAGAGGCAAAAGAGGGTCACGGGAATAGAGATTTAGTAAAGAGAAGGAATTTTACCTATTGCAACTAAACAGACAGCAGGGAAGGAGCCCTAGCACACAGCTAGAGGGTTTAACTTGTAGGACACCAGAGGGTGGGTATCTCTTTATTGTAAAAGAAGAGCAGAAGTTATAGTAGGTACAGATGAACATAGACTTGAATGCTTGATGTTGGAAAGTTGAAGACATTTTCATGTAAGAGCTTCTCTTTTCTCTATTTTGTAGAACATGAAGGATTTTACTAAAATGAGGGGAAGATGGGTGCAGAGGAAGGGGAAAGTCAGTGATTGGGAACCTGTGTTACAACTATTGGGAGAGAGTCTAAGATGGTGAAGGGTCTGAAATTACCACACTTTCAAGACGACAAGTTGGTCTGCCATTCAAGTATACTGGCAGAAGACTCAAGAGTCCTGGATCACAGCCAAAGGATTTTACCACTCACAGAACAGCAAGCAGCCTAAGCATGATGTTGGTAACATTTCCCCTTGTCCCCAAGTCAAGCAGGTGATGCAGATGGGCTTGAATGGATGCCTGCAGAAGCAGTGGACTGCATTCCAGGAAAGGAATACTGAGCTTAAGCAACCTGAATCTTTTATAACAGGCATAAAGCAAAGCTGCGCTTTGTTCCAGAGTTGAGAACAAAGGACAGTCAGCGCCTCTGCGGACAAAATGTATAGAAATGTGAGGCACAGAAAGAACTGTCGCCCAACAGAGGAACTGTCCCACAGACCAACCCAGTTGATATTGGTCATCTAAACATATAAGTTATCAAGCCCATTACTGCTCCCATCAAATACCACCACTGAGCTAATATTCCCATACAAGGAAATGAAAATCAGATAATCATTTTGGAATGACCAGAAAAACTTCTTTCCAACATGACATTGATCGCCTAACACTTCATGAACACTATCATTTAAACAAGATGCTAACCAACTGAAGTGACTTCCAACTCATAATTTACTCTTTCTTTTCTTAAAATGGGTGAATCTGCTAAATGTCTTTTTGAAATCTAGATCCTCACTAGACTGAAATGTAATCTAAGCACCAGCAACATTGGTTTCACCTGGAAGCTTGTGAGAACTAGCTGAATATCAGACTCCGCCCCAGAACTACTGTCATAATCTGCATCTTAGCAAGATCCCCAGATAATTTGTAGGCACATTAAATGTTAAAAAATGGATTTAGATTCTAGAGCAGAGGTGGGCAGACTTTTTCTGTGTAAGGCCAAATAATAATTATTTTAGCCTTTGCAGGGATTCTTCTGCAATTACTCAACTCTGCTATTGTACCTGGATAGCAGCCAAAGACAATAAGTAAACAAATTGGCGTGATAAGATTTGCCACAGGGCCATAGTTTGCAGATCCCTGCTCTGAAGTATTGCTTTGAATTAGAAATTATATTTCAAACAGAAATAAGTGTAACAAACTTGTTTTTAATAACTTGGCTTTGAGTGAACCCACACTGGCTTCTAAAAATCACACTATGTTCCTTTGTAACTCCTTATAACCCACTATTTAATGACCCATTCTTTAATTTTTCTTTAGACTGATATCAAAATTACTAGTTAATAGTGTATAAAATCCACTTTCTTCCTCTTTTTGGTATTTGCAGTTATGTTTGCACATTCCCAGCAGCTGTTGATTCTGCTCTTTCTCTTTATGATTTGTCAAAGATAGTGATTCAGAAATCTCAAATGTCAATTTTCTCAGGACCCTATGATGTAATTTGTCTGGGCCAGCAGATAGTCTGCCTGTCTTGGACCTGCTTTCCTTTGCCAATATTTACTTCACCATTTCTAATCTAAAGTTGGTTCTCCTTTACAAGGATAATGGAAGCAAAGGGATGGGGATCAGTGGAGAGGGGGAAATTAAAGATGCTGAATAGCAGACGGAATGTGTGGGGTTTAGGGCTCTAATATCTAGAGCTATATAAAAGAGGACAGACAAATACAAGAACACAAAAGTGGAATAATATGTACATTGCTGATTCAAACTAACGTAGTGATATATGTTAAAGATAAAAAACAGCGTTCAAACTCATGACTTCTCTTTTTCGTTTTTAACTGAAAAACCAAATCTTCAGGCTACGTAATCTCATAAAACTGTAATGTATTAACTTGGCTTTTTCTATCCAGGTTAAGAGTAACAAAACTAATTTGAAATTTGATTAGAGCCCAGAGCAACATAGATGTGGGAACTTTCTAGCATTTTCCAAAAGATTTTCATGTAAGTATCTTCTAAGTTTTAGATTTAACATGTAATAAATAATTTTCTAAAGAAGTTTCTTAAAAATGCTTATTTGCAGAGTTTATATTAGACCAAGGAGGAAGCAAAAGGAAACTAAATCAAAATTTATTTTTTGAAGACTAGATTATAAAGACATAAGCTTTCATAGTGAAAGTAAGACCTACCAGAGCTCACTTTGGCCTGCATGCCTCCACCAACTGCAATCTGAGGTTGCAGTTTTACTTTCCCTGAGAACACATGGAGCAGCCGATCATTAGTAGCACCGCAAACATTACACACAAGATGCACAGCTCTCTTAAAATGTCAAGAGGGTCATTTCACATTATCCAATGGTCAGTCAAAGTTCCTATGGCTTGAATATTATACACAGGAGCTTGTATTATTTCTTGCTTTAGAATCATGGTTCAGTTGATATAAAATACTACAATCATAAAAACAGCCAATATTTATTGAGGTATATTATGTACTAGGAACTGTGCTAAGTACATTACAAACATTATCTAATTTAAAATTCCAGTAAGTAAATTGATTATCCTAATTTTATAGGTGAGAATAAAAAAGAGGCTTATAGAGACTAAGCTAAGGAAGTGTTAGAAGACAGAACTCAGCAAAAGGAATAAAAACAAAAATTGAGAGATCAGGAGATGGTCTGAGTTGTTAAAAAGAAAAAAAAAGTGCAAAGGAGGAAGTAGAAAATTTAAAAGAAAAAGGTATTTAGGAAACAGATTGTAGAAAATTAATGTAAAATATATAATATTAATTAAAATTAGGGTCAACGATTACATACATAACTTGCCAATGGTGTTGGAATACATGAAAATAAGGCACTAAGTAACTCTCTTAGGTCACTAGAGTGAAACTGGATGTTTTTTCCCACTGGTTTAAAAGATTTAATGTGTATCTGCCATTCTGCACATTGATGTCTGTCACGCGACAGTGCCTGGCAAATATTAGGCATGCAATAATTTTTTTTGCTGAATGAAAGAACAAATGAATAGATGAATGTGTGTCCACAAATGTTTCTCTCAGGGAGCAGCATATCCATTTGATAAGAAACACACACACTTTCTGAAATGCTTTAAAACCCTTGTGTTTGTAATAATAATGAGACTAGCTGACATTTATTGAATGTCTACTGTGTATATGTCAGCAACTGTTCTATGCTCTTTATATTTACTCACTCATTTGGACCTCACAACAAACCTATGAGAAAGGTGACACTATAATTCTCATTTTACAGAGGAGAAAATTGAGGTGCATAGACAAGGAATTGTTCAGAATTCCCAAGCAGTAAATGGCAGAATGGGAAGCAAGTCATGCAGTCTGGTTCCAGAATCCAAGATCTTTACCATTGTGTTGATACACTGGATAAGAGTTCTTTAAGAATTTAGAGAAATCAAAGAATTCTAGCTGAAAGAGACACTAGGAATATGTGTTACCTCACTTTACAAACTGCAAAGTTGAGGCCCAAGGAGGCAGTGTCTCTCACTCTTGGGTGCAGAGTTAGTGGAAACACAAGGAGTAGCACTTTAGTGTCTCAAATTCCCTGCCCAGTTCTTTATTTCTGATACCACACTGCCTCCTACAAACCACTAGAGTGGAACAAAGCTCGCATATGGAAGATCTGAAAACAGTTACTCAGCACTATATTATTCACCATACATATAAAGCAAAACAAAACAAAAACACATAGATGATAAAATTAGAACAGATTAGAGGAAGGTTTTTAAAAGAGATTAAATCTTGAAATAGGCACTTTCACCCTTACCCTAAAAGGCCCATGAATTACCAACAAGGCTATTTGAGAACATTTTTGAAAAAGCAAGGCAGAGACGTGGAAGATGGAGGAGGGGGACAGTATGAAGCTCAATGAGGACAGAGAAAGGAGGCAATGGAAAGTGACTTGTGAGAGATTTGGGGAAGGGGCTTCTCATGTAGGTTCCTGGATGTTAAAATAAACTTCTAAAATAATGAAAAATTGATTCTCTTTTAAATAAGACACTTAGAATAATGGTTTAATCAAAATCACTATTCAGATTTATAAAAGAACTTTAACATAAACAAACAAAAAACCCAGACCATGTCTACACATGTGAAATGAATGGGTTTGGCACAGCTCATCTATTCCTTTTGGATGTGTCTAAATGATGGCACACACTGCTGTTAGATCTAGCTGTGACGATCAATACTGAGTATAAGATGGACAAAATGAATGGAGACAGCTGCACTCCACTTGCCTTGTTTCATATATCAATGATCTGATTCACTCTGGTTTTTATAATATTCCTTAGCTAGAGCCATTCCTACAGCTTAGAAAACTGGCCCTGGACTTTGTGACTCAGAAAGGCTTCAGTCAGGAGAAGGAGGTGGATTAACCAATGGTCCTAAGAAAGATTTGCACCTCACACAAGCATCATTGGTCCACAAATCCTCCTGCTACCCCCAACACAAAGAGGCAGTAGGATATGGGTACGTAGTTGCTTCTTTCCCCATTTACCTCCCAGCATTGAAACCAATTTTAAACAGGTTTCTCCTTAATAACATGTTTGTTTATTATTTTTTCTTCAAGCCTAATCTACCAGATAAGGCATTTCTTCTCATATCCTCACTTCTACTGAGATGTTTTCCAGCATTTTCGTAGTTTCATTTGTCTTTTTGTTTGTTTTTGTTTTTTTTAAAATTTTACTTTAAGTTCCAGGATACATGTGCATGACATGCAGGTTTGTTACATAGGTATACATGTGTCATGGTGGTTTGCTGCACCTATCAACCCGTCACCTAGGTTTTAAGCCCCTCATGCATTAGATATTTGTCCTAATGCTCTCCCTCCCCTTGTCCCCCACCCCGACAGGTCCTGGTGTGTGATAACATGTTTATTTTTATTAAATATCAGTAGTTGCTTCTTTCCCTATCTACCTCTCAACACTGACACCAATTTTAAACAGGTTTCTCCTTAATAACATGTTTATTTTTATTAAATATCAGGGGGTAGGAGAAGAAAAACATATACCATGTGATTGGGGTCTTAACAACCTAGAGATGTATCCTAGACTCCGAACCTCTCTAGGGCAGTGCTCTCCAAAGCCTGATGGAACTCTCAAGGGCAGAAGGAAAGGCAGTAATAGCAAAAGGAAGAACGCTGTCTTATCAGTTTATAAGAACTGGTCAGTGGACTTTTCTTGGTATAAAAAGTTCAACAACTAATAGAACAAGCAAATCACTTCACCATAATCAAATTTCACCTTATGACCCAGGAAAATGCAAAGGCTCTAGCCAAAGAAAATTGTATATGTGTGTGTGTGTATATATATATATATAGTGATCAGACTTTTAGACTTTTCCCCTGAACACTTCTATGGTGAATTATTAAAAACAGTACTGACTCATTTTTAGTTACATAGTTATATACTTACTTATATATATACTTAGTTATATACTTAGTTATATACCTTACTGTTTCGCTAGAGACTCATCCCAATAAAATTACTTCTAGACCTTAGCTATTGGGTGTTGTTACTAAGGAATTTTTAATAAGAAATAGCCAACACTTTCAATTAGAAATGGATGTACATATATTAATGTCAGACATTTATTTTTAAATATCCTCTACTAATCATTTCAATATCTTCAGAATTTAGAAGTGCCAGAGAACAAGAAGCAATCATCTGGTAAATCACATCAATGGATTTACTGAAGAGTCTTTAAGGAAATTGAAAATCTATGTTAACATAATTTTTCTAGTTCCCCAGTAGAGGGCAACTTCTACACACTTTGACAGTTTAAAAAAAAATCTATGTACAGCACAGTTGTAAGAATCACTGCATGTTTAAAATAAAACAATATAGTTTATGCTTATGAATGGATTTTCACTAACAGGTAGCTTATAAAATGTCATGGAATTTAAATAAGTAGTTAGGAATTGAATATCTGTAATGAGTAATTAGCATTTTATGATTAATATAAGTATAAACTGCAGGAACTTTAAAAGTAGCAACCATTAGGTCACTGTGATAGAATTATCAGGAACTTAAATATAAGAGAAATGATCAGAGTATTGTTCTTTAGTAACCATTTTGATTGAATTTCAATATAACTGAGTTCCAAATATAGCTAATACGTTGCATAAAATATTTTATTAAAAATAGGCAAAACCAACCCCCCATTCCCAAAATGGCCATACACAAACATTTGAAAGTATAATTTAGAGTTTTTGATATTCTATATTTTGAACTAATTCGAATTAGTGTTAGTGTTTTATATTTTATTTTTTTTGAGACGGAGTCTCGCTGTGTCGCCCAGGCTGGAGTGCAGTGGCATGATCTCGGCTCACTGCAAGCTCCGCCTCCCAGGTTCACACCATTCTCCTGCCTCAACCTCCCCAGCAGCTGGGACTACAGGCGCCTGCCACCACACCCGGCTAATTTTTTGTATTTTTAGTAGAGACAGGGTTTCACCGTGTTAGCCAGGATGGTCTCGATCTCCTGACCTTGTGATCCACCCGCCTCGGCCTCCCAAAGTGCTGGGATTACAGGCATGAGCCACCGCACCTGGCCCAGTGTTAGTGTTTTAATGACATCAGACATAAGAATGTAACCATACACATGTATGCTTATACACAAATAGGATAAAATTTCACTATAATACATCTCATTATATCGTATTCTATATAGTGGTTGGACACAATATAAAATGTCCTCATTCATTCATTCATTCATTCATTCAACACTCATTTACTGAGCACATATTGTGTGCCAGATACAATACCAGAAGTCAAGGCTACAGTGTGACAAATCTGACAAAGTTCTCTGCCTTCTTGGGGCTTACAGGTTCTATTAAAAAGTAATGTATGGCAAAGCCTTCTAAAAAGACAAATCTATAAGATGGATGCTTACCTTATAAAACTAGTTTTTTATTTAAAAATTTGGCTTTGTTTTTAATATAGAAAATATTATAAGGAAAAATGAAATGGTTCATAATCTTAAAACACAAATAACCCTTGTTGGCCTTAAACAATGTTATAAATGAATCTCATTAGAAAATTTTTAGTTGTATAGAAAAGTACAAAATAAAAATTGAAAATTTCTAGCACTCTCTCAACTCAGAAACATTAGCAGTTTCTTGTAATTCCTTACAGAAAAAAAAAAAAACAGTACCCACCATTTCCTCTACCCACCTACTCATCCATCTAGCCTAGCCGTCTTAACTTATTCAAATTTATACAGTTTTCTTAAGACAATCATACTATATACAGTATTCTGCACATAGCTTTATCTTTTCCCAATTCCCTATATTTCCTGGAGCTCTTTCCATAAAAGAATATATAAGCACACCTCATTCTTTCATTTGACTCATTTTATTTTTTAATTTAGAAGTATTTTATCTATCTCTAAATATCTCACAATTCTAGTTTAAAAAGTGGTTATACAGTTTTATCTGAAATTTATAAGAGCTGTTATAGTGTTAAAAGTATAAAGACTTAGAAATCACGACCTTCAAGAGGAAGCCTAAAAAAAATTATTTTTAATTTATTAGAGAACAGCAAATACAAGAAGAAAAAGAAGAAATAAGTATCTGCTTTGGACAAAAACCCTACCAACAGGTCTATTAGATCATACACAATGTAACAATCTTCTAAGAGTGTCTTTAAATGTGAATTAGAAATACTAGTGAATTTTTTTACCAGTAAGTTTTAATAATAGTACTATTACACAATCATCATTTTTTAGAGTTTCACTTAAAATTTTCAATTAAGCATGCAAGAATTACTTTATAGCATTCTATTTATAATACTGCTTAAACCACATATTTGTTTCAGGGCAATATTTGATATTAAAATGTGATAAGAATTTTAAAATTTATAAAAATATTATGCAAAATAAAATACAGGGCACTAGGTGGTGCTGTGGAACCTTCCAGATAAACTAACACTGCAAAGGTATGCATTTGACAAATTAGTTGTATGGTTGATTCTATATATTTAAATACACATTAAATATCTTTTATAGATAAAACAGTGCACATAAATAAGAAGAGTAATATAATGAAAAAACAAAGTTGTGATAGATGACCTCTTTGAGGAAGATACAACCCCCTTTCAAAATCTCATACCCTAACTCCTGTGTTAAGCTATTAAAAAAATCTTTATATAAAAAATGTCATTTTTGAGGCATGCTTGTCAATCCACTATTATTTTCATTTACCTTTAAAGCTATTTTTTTCATATAACTACGAATTTAAAAGATGAGCAATTATACCTCCTTGTCAAACAATTTTCTATTAGGTGATTTCTTATATCACAGTATAAGATCTTCTTGAGTTTTGTTTTTCTATTTTCCCCAGACATGACTGCTTGCTGCAGAGCTACTAATTCAAATACTGACAGCTACCAGACTGGCAAGGCAAATGTACAGATTGGGCTACAAGTAAAATAATAGGAAGTAAGGGCAACTTAGGAAACCCAGAATATATGCATTCAAATTCAGATAAACGTGCACGCGCACACACACACACTACACAAGCCAAAAAAAGCACATCTGTGGTCTGCATGTGGTCTGTGGGCCACTCATCTGTGACCTCTAAGTCCAACATGTTCCTAACCATTTATCTATGAGTGACACATCTCAAAGATAACCTACGAATTTCAGTTCAAATGAAGGAGTGTAAATGCTTTTCAATTGTCCTTCTACAATGTTTAATCACTTATGTATGTCCTCCCTTAAAGAAAACAGAAAATATTAGTGATGTAGGAGAGAAACCGTAGTGGTCAAGAGCATTACCCATCCATGATGAGCTGCTGGTTTAAAGAGAAGCAGAGATTTAGCAGTCTTTTTTTGTGGGCATGATCTTCCTCTTCCCTGCAGGCACTTTCATGATTGTGAAATAAAATGATAAAGTACTTAATATTGAATTGATAGAAATACATGTTTAACATCAATGAAAAAAGGATAGAATTTATTCCCACTAGTAGTGACGGTGGAACTTAATATTATAGGTACAAAGTAAGAATGAAAATGAATTTTTAACAAATTCAACAAAACTCATCTAAAGGAATTTTTTTAAACAAATTCAACAAATTAAACAAATTTTTAACAAATTCAACAAAAATTATCTAAAGGAATGTTGTTCTTCAAGTCTGCCAATGAGAGAAGCAAAACTCATTTTTAAATGATGCATCATTCCAAATGTTTTTAGCTGCCCTCAGAAAGCGTTTGTGTGCTACATAAGAAAATAAGATAAAATCATGTCATTTCTGAACTGGAAGAGACCACAGAGATTAACAATCTCTCGTTACTTTAGCTTCACCTCACAAATCAGTTCTTGAAAGATAAACACAGTTAAGCTTCAGTATCTAAGTGGGGCTTTGTCACAAAAAATGAAGTGATCTGATGCTAGCAGGAAGCTATGAAGAAATCACATTTACTTTGAATGGAGACTATGCCTTACACCAGTAACCAATGCAAAAATATCATGTTTCAAGAATTTTCAATATTGTCTAAACACTCACAGGAATCTCTACCAACACTAAAAATCATTTGAAATTTTTAACGGGTTTAATGGGTTCAAACAGATATATGGAAGAAGTGGTGAAAAGCAGAACTAGTTTAGAGCCACACTGCCTGAATTCTTTTCATTTCACTTGTAGACTACCTGAAATGCCATTTTGGATGCTGGTCTTTTTGGCTTAATGAGCATCTGTTTTAAAATTGCATGTTTTCTTCTGAAGTAGTAGTTTTCACGGTGTGGCCTGGGGACTTACGGGTTCCTAAGACGTTTTGGAGGGCACGGTGAGATAAAAACTACTTTCATTATAATACTAACACATTATTTGCCTTTTTACTTTCATTCTTTTGCAGTTATACAGTGGAGTTTTCCAGAGGCTACATGACATGTGATATCAAAAGAGATCTGATACAGAAGCAGATATGAGACACCAACAGTCTTATGTTAAGCCAGGCATTAAAGAGATTTGCAAAATGCAAAACAATAGTACTCTTCCCACTAGTTTTTCTTTTTGTTTGGGAAAATATAGTGATATTTCACAAAAATGTGCAAATTTACATATGAAGTTATTATTTTTAAATGAATTAATAATTTTCCAGCTTTAATTTCAAATGTGGTCAATAGATAGATATCACCCAAATAAACAACAGTTCTCTCTGGTCCTCAGCAAATTTTAAGACTGTAAGGGAGTTTGAAAAGTTGGAGAACACTGTTCTGGAAGTAAGCTACTCACATCTTAGTCAATATGCTTTCCTCTAAATACTGGGATGAATCTGAAACTTCTATCTGAATGAAATTTGCTTAGAAGCAAGAAAGGTCAAGCATTTTGAAGCAAGAGGTACTTTTACGGGCAAGACTAGCTTGATGCAGAGGGATAAACAGTGGCCTGGGAACCACAGGCCCAGGTGGAACAACCCAGGTAGAAGGAACAGAGAGGGAGTCAAGAGTGCAATGGCAAATGCTCTGATTTCTAAATTTAGCCTGAGACCAATGCTACATCTAGGAAGGGGTCATTCTTCTCTACCTTCTCTTACCTCTTGTATTCTGGGAGACTACAACACAGTTTCCACACTGAAATGCAATCCTTCATTAGTTTCCCACTGGTCTTTAAAGACCAATATTATAACTGCAGTCTATAACATTCTGTATTATCTGCTCCTGCCTACATCTCCATCTTTCTCCATTCTCCACCTGGCTCTCTATATGCCAGTCACAGGGCCCTTAGTCTATTCCTTGACCAGGCTATATTCACTTTCAACCTGCAGACATCAGGTTCCTTCAGTCATCAAGGAAGTCTTTCTGCCATTATAGATTCCCCTAAATATGCACTCATATGGCACTATGGATGTCCTTTATGGCATGCATCACAGTTTTAATTTTACATTTATTTGTGTGATTATTTCATTAATGCTTGTGTCTCCTCCACTAGGCTGTAAGCTTTAGGAGGAGAGGGACCAAGCTTAGTTTTACTCTATCTTGTATTTCCCATACCTAGTGAAATGCTGGGGACATAATAGGGGCCCATTTAATATTTTTGAATGAAGAAATAAATGAATAATAGGTATTATTTATTAAGCATTCCTCCTAGACATTGTTCTTGCACTTTGCAAGTGTGATATAATTTTGAAAAGAAGCCAATTGATAAGCACAATTATCATCCCCATTTACAGATGAAGAAACCAATGGACACAGAAGTTAGCTAATTTTCTCAAGGTAAGCTGCAATTTTTGAGGTCAGGATTTGGACTCTAACAGTTTGATTTTAGCACCCACAACTCTACACTGTAGTTCAGTTGTCTTATGGATGAAAAAGCATTTACGGGCCTAATCTCCATTTATAAAGTTGGAATTCAAAATTATTCGTCATAGAAATCAATGACTGATTTACAAACTAGGAAGCTAATGTACAAACTGATGACCAACTCTATTGGGGAACTGAGGAATATGCTCTGAAATTAAGTAGTGCTAAGAAAACAACAACAACAAAAAACAACAAACAGCAATTTCATGTGAGAGCTTTGGTAGCTTTTTATGTTTCATTGGTTGTAAGAGAAAAATACATATATGTGCAAAATGTGTAATGTATTTTCTGAAGGTATGAGGGCAGTCCAAGAAACAATGACAAAAACAATGTCCTCTTTTGGATATCTAGAACCAGACAGTACATGTTAGGATTCAGAAAACCTTTTGATCTTCTAGAAATTCTATTTTTGAAAAAGAAAGTGGCCGGGCGCGGTGGCTCACGCCTGTAGTCCCAGCACTTTGGGAGGCCGAGACGGGCGGATCACAAGGTCAGGAGATCGAGACCATCCTGGCTAACACGGTGAAACCCCGTCTCTACTAAAAATACAAAAAACTAGCCGGGCGAGGTGGCGGGCGCCTGTAGTCCCAGCTAGTCAGGAGGCTGAGGCAGGAGAATGGTGTGAACCCAGGAGGTGGAGCTTGCCGTGAGCCGAGATCGCGCCACTGCGCTCCAGCCTGGGTGACAGAGCAAAGACTCCGTCTCAAAAAAAAAAAAAAAAAAAAAAAAAAAGAAAAGAAAAAGAAAAAGAAAAAGGAAGTGAATCAAAATAAAGCTATGAGCCTAAACTTTCAGAATTACATAGATACATGTCTCCCTTTCCAACTGGGTTTAATTTCAATTATAATTTTTCAGCTATATTTATTTTTCAACTAATTTTGTTTCTATTAAATTGGTCATTTGAAATTACAAAATAGTTTCATGAGTATTTAAATGTGTAACATAATTGTAATCTATGTTTTCTATTATCACAGCATGCTTAAGAATATATCACGATATGAAAAACAAAATAAAGATCCAGGAAACCTATAAATTCTAACAATTTATCATCTAAAACCTAGCAAGCCATATCATTATTTTTATGTTTCAAGTCAATTTTATATTATTAGGATCTCTGTGATTTCATTCAACCAATAATTTTTGGATACCTACTCTATGATAGGCATACCCAAGAGGAGGAGGAAACAAAGATAAAGGTGGCCTGGTCTCTATCCTAAAAGATCTTATGGTCTAGTCGCAGCAAACTAAAAAGGTAAAGGCCAGATAATGGGGTTAAGGAAAGTCTGCTTACCTCACCCAACTGAGCGAGGGGTTTCAAAAGTTGTCACATCTAAACTAAGACCCAAATTATCAGTAAGAATGGCCCAGAGAAGGGTTGAGGTGGAAGGCACCTAAAAATGGTTTAGGGAATGGTGGGGGTGAGAACAGGATGTGTGAAAGGCCTGTAGACAAGGAAGTGTGTTCGTGTGCTTAGAGGAAAAGAAAGGCAGGGCATAGTGAATGGGACATAATAAACACCATTCCCATGGCACCAATCTCTCACAAAAGCTTCATGCAAAGATAACCAGTTATATCTACCAGCCTTCTCATCTTCCAGGAAATCAAAGAAACAGAAAGGGCAATAAGATTATGAAATACCTCAAAAAGTGCTCTTAGGAAATTTAACTTTCCTCGTGCTAAAACTTTGTGTATGTGTTTTTTTAATTTTACTTGTAACCAAAATGTCAGCAAAACCGAACGTTACCAGTGCTGCTAAGTTGAGACATGGCTGGAGTGGAGGACAGGATTGTAAAGTTAGAACCTTAAGACTGTCCAAATCTTCTACGGGTGGCAAATGCTTTGTTCTCTGAAGAATATGTATTATTATAGTGAACTAATTCCTTCTGAAATTTTTCTTACTTAGCAAGGAGTTATTTCTATGCAAAAATGGAAAATTCAAAGACCTAAAAACCCTCACTGTATAGTAATCTATTTTGTTTGTGTACTGGTGTTGTCTGCTTAGCCCCAAGTCATCAATTATGGATAGAAATGTACAGCTACAGCAGTAGCCAGTGTCATGGGCCTGTCAGGGATTTCTTAAGAGGAACAAAAACACTTGATTGTATCTACTTTTAGAAAACACAGGATAGGTGAAAAGAGGAAGAAAATGAAAGAAAATATGAGTAATCCTCAATACATACATTGGCTTCTTACAATAAATGAATTTTTTATTTTAAAATAAATTTTAAAAAAGCACTTGAAACCAGAAATACAACTAGGAGAAAGCCTTGGATATAGATGCAAGAAAGGCTGACATTAGCGCATCAAAACCACACACTTTAGAATACAAATTCATTTCTTATATATTTGAGGAAAAATAACTAATGGGGGTCACCAAGCTCTAACCTCTCTGAACCAAATTCAATGGATCCAGTGTTTACAACAAGGAGTAGTCACGTTACTTGAAATAAAATGTTCTGTAATTACCAAACCTGGCTGGCTTCTGAGGTGAGAGTTTTCATTCTAAATGAATGAAGCATGTTTACAAACTGACCGGGGAGCACAAGGACTATAAAGATTAACATGAAGAAAATGCAATCTAAGATATCTTATGGAATTTTCCCTATTATACCAAACACAGCAAAAGCTTTCACTGGGATTTCAATAAATTTAGTTTTACACATTGCTACAGAATTTAGTTATTCTCCCCTTCTCTAGTGGATAGCTGGGGTAGCAGCTGGTGTGTTGTGTATTTAAAACGTGTAAAAGAACTCCTGTTCTCTCTCAGTACCTACATAAATGTGCGTAAGAAAATTTGAAAAAATGATTTACTTTAAGTAAAATGACTTTATTTCTTTTCCTGTAGGGTATTTGACAAGCTTTTAAACATCTAAGAGTCATGTTTTCAAAAAGCATACAGATTTCTTCTGGAGAAAACTACAGTACATAAAAACATATCATTTAAATTTATGTAAATTTTCCTGAACCATACATTCTTGAATGTATATCTTCATTGTTCAACACTTTCTGGGTAGAATTTTTAATGCCTGATTTTTATAAAATAATTTACTTGACATGTAAATATTGTGAGATAGTCAAAGATATAATAATTTTCTATTACTTTAAAGAGTGTATAACAGTCGCACTTTGTCATTACTATACAGGTTAGATCACATGCCATATTAGTCAGCCAAATTCTATAAAATTGAAAGTGTATTTAAAAATCAATGCTGAGACATTAGGAAATGCCTGAAACAAATGAGAACCAAATCAATTCCCATATTTCTTAGATTTAAAATGGGCATAATTTGCTGATCATTCACTGAAAGTGTAATTTAGCAAAATAGACCCCAATGAATGCTGAAATATATTTTCTCAGCTCTTATTCAAATGATTTTTGCTGGTTTTAATGTAAAAATTTCCAGCATATTTAAACACATTACAATTAGACCCACAACCCACCAAATTAACTACTTGTTACTACTATAGTCCATTAAACAGACACTTCTCAAAAGAAGACATACAAGCAGCCAACAAATATATGGAAAAAAAAATGCTCAACATCAGCAATTATCAAAGAAATGCAAATCAAAACCACAATGAGACACTATTTCACACCAGTCAGATTGGCTATTACTAAAGTAAAAAAACAACAGTTGATGGTAAAGCTGCAGAGAAAAGGGAACGCTTGTATTCTGTTGGTGGGA